AAACACGTGCTCTAATTTTTGTCACAAAATTTGGTGCATGAATATCATAATATCAAATAGTACCTTCATTGACCTTTGTGTTTGTGTACTTCCATGTTTATACCAGGCTTTGGGATTATACTTTGAATAGGGGGTTGGGTTTATCTTTTTTCAATGTGAACAAGGGGTCAAGTGATATAATACAATCACTAGGGGAAACGGACCTTATGCACTTTGAATAACTGCAATTGTTGGCCTCGCTTCAATTCGAAACTGTTGAAGTTGGGAATATAAATTTTTGTGAATGATCTGCAAATGAGTCAACATGCATGACTGTGGTCGCAATTGGGTTTAACATAAAAGTCATTGACCTTCATTTCCCCCAGTTTAACACCCCTTTCTCTGGCTTCGCTGGATAGGATACAAATTATTCCCATTACTTTTTAAATGGATGTAAAGGTAAACGTCATAGGTAGTACTGCAATAATCCGACAACACTGTAAACAGATATTGAGGTTAATAAACGGGCTTCGATGATAGTAAAGGTCAATATGTATATTTCAAATGAGTACGTAGACTTTTTTTAAAGGAATCTAACAGGGACTGTTGTAAAAAAACTTTCAAGATTGCTACTTTATCTATCCAGCTTATTGAGTCATATGTAAGATTGCAGACTACATTATCTAAACGTATTATAAATGGAAAAGACAAATGAGTAAGGAAAAGCTAAAGCTTAAGTTTAACAACCAAAATGAAATGAAACGTCTGGTATATCTTCTTGTTTAACAATTTGAATATGACCCTATCACTGGGCTTCAAACACTTGATATACTAAATCGGTCCAATTTTTGTCTCTAGGCGCTACTTAACCCTACCACATTTGTCAGCCCATGACTTCTCTCGAACAACAACTAAGCCTTGGTAAAGTTTGTCTGTGATGAATGTCTAAATACGCAGACACATTCGGTCAAAATGAAGACGTTAAATCCGATGCCTCTGAAGATTGATTTCTCCCTTAACGTCCAGTTGCAAATATGTCATGCATACTTAAGACGAGATCCAATGTGGGTCGTCTGAGAACAAATGTTAAAAACCTTACATAGACACTAGTCACTTGGACTATATAATCGTGCGTTGGAAAATGCTAAAAACTATGCCTGACAAGAATAAGGGTAAGCCTTGACCTATGTCGTAACGTAAGCTATTAACCCTCCCCCCCTCTACAACAAAACCCAAAACCTTTTCATTTCTTTTCACTCAATGACAGACGGATTCAAAAAATAAACAGAAAACAAATGTGAAGGGAATGAATGCCATCTAAAGAGGTAAGTAAGTAAGATTTGTACTTTTGCAGGCAAGTTTCGGACAAATTTAAACTTTAGTACCGTCTAATATTTAACTGGAGATGATCAAATGCACTTTTATTCTTTGAATTTGTAAATGATGGTATTTTTCTTGATTGCTTTATTTACAATCCAATTTTCGACCTCTTGATACCAAGTGGGCGTGTCTAAATAGTCACGTCCGATTAACTTTTAGTAATTGAAACATCAACTTAAAGACCTACACCGGGTTAATAAGTTCGGGATACAATAAGTAAACAAAAGAAATCCTTTGTGAAATGAGATCGTCCCAGGTATCTTAGATAATTATTTTTCATTGAATAACATTGAAAATTTTAAGGAAAGGTTTGTAAGTTAATAAAATTAGAAAAGGTTATTAAAAAAATGTGTTTGTAGTTTTATAGTTTATTCACAATGGCAAGCATACAGGTTCTTCCCTTCACTTCAATTTCATATAATCAATATTAGTTATGGATAGATGTGGTATGGTACATGCGACTGGTTATTGTTTAAAGGTAAACATCAACTTGCAGACATCTACTCATAAATAATATGTATGAATGGGAATTTAATAACTACTTCAGAGTTTTTTTTCATAAATTCCTGTGGTCTGTACTTTCCCTAGTATTAATCTTTTATTTACTGTTAAATGCTAGCATGTCAGCTTGATTTAATGAGATAAATTAGGATATGAGGTTGGTCATAGATATGAAACAGCATGACAGCATGGGTGTAATCAGAGAAGCACGTGTATATAATTTTGATTAATTTATAAGGGGGTCAGTTGTTTGTTGAGCATTTGTGGAAAATTAATTCAGCCGACCCACCGTCCCCAACTACACCAAAAAATTGTATTTTTTATTTTTATTTTTTAATCGAATTTATATGTTTAAAGGGGCTACAAATGAAAATATGTTGCCAACTTAATTTCAGGGAAATTATTTTTCCTTTCCCCAATTCATTTATACATCTTATACATATTTAAGGCTTTGTTTAATTTATAGATGATAATTAAGTTAGTTGTTTGAACCTGCCCTGATCTACCGCAGGAATTCTCATTTTTACACCTGTTTGGGATCTACCGCTGGTTCTTATACAATTCATTAATATATCTTTTAAATTATTAAGGCTTTGTTTAATTAAAGGGTGATAATTAAGAAAGTTAGTTGTACCTGCTTGGATCAACCACAGGAATTCTCATGTTAATATTGTCTGGGATCTACTACAGGTTCTTGTACATGTATGTTTTTAATGCTCACCTCTCTTGGTTCTTCCACAGGTTATTGCCTGCTTTCACCTGTCTTGGGTTCTACTACAAGTTAGTACCTTTTTCATCTGTATGGGTTCTATCAGAGGTTTTAAGAATTGTTAAACCTGTTTGGGTTTTGGCCACAAGTTTCATGAATTTTTCACCAATCTGGGTTCTACCACAGGTAATTTCTTTTTTTACCTGTTTGGGTTTTTTCCACAGGTTATTGCATTTTTCACCTGTCTGGGTTCTACCACAGGTTATTGCTTTTTTTTACCTATCTGGATTCTACCACAGGTATCAATAATTGTTCACCTGTCTGGGTTCTTCCACAGGTATCAATAATTTGTACCTGTCTTGGTTTTACCACAGGTTCTAATAAAATTGTCACCTGTTCGGGCTTTACCACGGATTGGTATAATTGTTTCACCTGTCTGGGATCTACCAAAGGTTTTTATGAACAAAACGCATCACCTGTCTTGGATCTACCACCATGACCACAGATGCATAATTTAGGCAATTCATATTTAAATTAAATATTATGTTGAGTAGGTAGTGTTTCTGAGTTTTAATTATTATAATTATAAATTTTGATGAGTAGCACCCTAGAAAGCCAAATGATAAAATTATTGTTATTTCGAGTATTATGTACAAGAGTTTTAGAATTCTTTGTGATTATGATACTAGATTAGTGTTTATACAATTGTGTCCCAGTATTAGTATGTTAATACAATTAGAAATAGGTTTTAAAACGTTTTGTGTATAATATTACATGATGGCACATGAGACTGGTTATTGGTTAAAGGTAAACATCAACTTGCAGACATCTACTTATCAGTAATACGTATAAATATATTTCATGGCAAACTCGACCGATTCATAATATATCTCAGTTATCACATTTACACTATTTCAATTTTTTGGCATCGTAATTTGAATTTGATATAAAACGATAAAACAGAATTTATACACCAAAATATAATTGGCACATCTATTTATATTGTGCTTTTATATAAGAAAAGACCCACCCATCACCCCAACCCCAACCCCGAGTTTACATCGTTTTAAGGCCTAGCATTTACCAGATGTAAAGGTTTAGTGCATTTTGTGTTTCAAAAATTTATATTCTTTTGGATTTTGATTGGCATTTACTGATTTTATGTCACGGATGGATACCCCATGTCCCTTGTTTCTCTATTATTTGCATATTTTGTGTAGTACGTATCTTGTCAAAATTAATAATTAAAAATCATCAGGAATCAAATAAAATGAGTTTAAACTTAATTGATATATAAATTAACCAGTGAACCATTAGCGAGTACATTTTTAACATTTCATTCATGATTCCATCAGGACAATGGATTTTTAAATTCTAGTTTTTCTAGCATTTCGTTTTCAAAGATCTGCTCCTCAGCTGACATTTAATTATCATTCATATCCTTAAATATATGTATCCAAGTTCTGGAAAGTATTATTTGTATGGGTATTTAAAATTTTTAAATTATTTTCATACATATTCATAAGTTTAACAAGAATTTAAACCATGCATTCTTTTGATGATATACTTAAGGTTGGGTCCATTGTATCTTTCTTTTTTTAAGTAAAATAAGTTTTTTTCAAATTCTTCATGCCAGCTATCATCAGATAAGATATAAGATAGCATCAGATAAATTGTCACTTTTGATATTCATTTTGAAGTTAAAGAATATCATTATAAAAATAATAAAACCCAGTTTTAGTTTCTTAGATAAGATATAATATAAAGTTCGATAGGATATAAACTTGTATATCTTGATCTTGTGAGTGAAACAAATAAAGGAGAAATTGGCCTCATTTCTTTTGGCTTAATTGGGGGACAGACATACAAAATTTGATAAATATTACTTAAGCATTCTATGTGTTACACTCATAGCATTAACACAAAACTAGAACTGTCTTTAGAAGATTATTAAATTAGAATGCACTGCTCGTAATTTTCACAATAAAGAAGGAAATTATGAAAAAAACTAATTTTTTATTTCATATTTTTCAGTCAGTGGTATATGTTATTTTAACGTGTGGTTTTCAGTAAATTTCAGTATCATCTATTGATGTACCGTTGATGTTTCCGTTCCTTTGATCTTTAAAAACAGATTTCATGAAATTTCCACCAAGTGACGATTTTGCAGCAATTTGCTATATAGATTATTTATCACTTTCTGATTTCTATTTCAATAGTGCACAAGGCTAGTGAATTAGTATGATAAAGCTTTAAAAGGTACTTTAAGATATTTTCTTGTAATTAGACATTTGTTAACTTTTCTAACATTAAGAAACAAATTTCTTGAAATTTTGTCTGATTGAAATTAGAAATGTCTTAAAAATGTTTTTATTATATATATATATATATATATATATATATAATTACTCTAAAAATAAGCACAACAATGTTAAATTTGCATATTTGCGGAAGCATGATATATATAATTTATATAATGGTGAAAATAATAATGTATACATTCATATTCTATCGAAGACATACTTGTGCTTTCTCCTGGCAATGGCGAGGGAAAAAGGTCCATGTCTAACACTCCTTTTTCCTTGTAGTATTTTAGCACTTGAAATGCATCTCTATTTATCAACTGGACCATTGTTATGATTCGATCTACACCCATCAGTCGATTGTATTCAAACCATTCAATCAAATGTATTGCCTTCTTTGTACCATAGGCCATTTTAGAACATATAGCCATCTTACCGGCATGTCTGGTTGGATATACAACTTTGGTTATTTGTGGACAAGTGTCTGCCTGGATATCATTTAATGGACTAAGGCCGACTTCGCTGACATAGCCTTTTATTTGTTGGAAGGTATTTTCTAACTTGCATTCATACTGACATGCAACCAATTTTGCTCGATAAATTGAAGGAATTTTCTTAGAAGTAGCTTTAACTGTTTGAACAGTTTTATTTGAAGGGTCGAAAAAGCAGTTAAACTGTGTCTTCGTTCTTTTACACCAGGATGTTATGATAATTGAGATGTACTTTGTCCAGTCTGCACTCGGCTTTGCTACCGCTGAATATGCATACAGATCATCACGTCTACATACTCTTATCATCTTTTTATCTTTGACCTATCAAATGTACATTTTAATTATTGTATAAAGGATCAACGAATCTAAATTTCATATTGTTTTCAAAATAAAATGCAAACAACCGAAGTATAATCTTACCATGTCATACCTATTTTGAATTTGCAAGGAACGAGGATGAATAAGAAAAAAAATGTGTAATTTTTTATTCATTAATATTTAAGTTATTAGTTTAAACATACATGTAATAAACGTATTACTTACTGGTGATACTTAAATCCCAAAAACCAAAATCAAATCAAAGGAAAAAGAAAAAGGCACCGGTGACTTCTGATATTGATGAGTTTGGCACGATCTTGACACGAGCATTCATGAATTAATATGCAGAAATCTAAGCTTGTTTTTCTTTTGAAACCTCAAACAAATTCAAAAGAGATATGTTTGAGGCATTTAGTAAAAATAAACACATTCTAAGCAAAGTTTATCATAAGTTATAACGACGAAATACTTTGTATCGATTGCTTGCAATTCATGCATGCTATTAAACCTTTACAACAATTGTCCACGCCTACACTGCTGCGATTGAAGTGGTCGTCTCAAAATAGTAATAAAGCTATTTAAGTTTTACCAGTGGTTAACTGAATTCATAGAAATACAAATATTTGACTATATGTATTTACCACAACGATATATTTGCACTATAGCTGTTCGCTTAATATCAAAATAGTATAGTCTAAATCGAATATGCACGCATATGTTACATGCATGTTATACCCCTACATTTCACCTGTAAATTGAGGGTATCATTAGTCGGTGTCGTATTGAAAGTTGTTGAAAAGGTCTATAATCGATAATAAGATTGATAAGCTTCTACATACACATAAATAGCAACACACATTTCCAGATAAACATCTTTTGTACATATGTGCATGCCATTCTTTTATCATCAGTCTTTGAATGTAAATAACCACTGCCATTTTAGTCCTGCTGGTCATATTAATACCGGAGACCTTGGTATATTCAAATATAAATATCCTAAAGAATGGTTAAACTGGTCTCAAAAATCTAATTATGAAATCATCAAAAGAAAGACGAACGTCAGGTTACTGATGGTGCATAGATCAGGCCGATGTCAAAAAGTAAGATAAGCGAGAGCTATGTGAACCGTAAATTGACATCTTAATCCTTATCTAAATGAATCATAGCATGTTCGGTCATGCATCCATTTGTGAATAAAAAATATGATGTACGCTGATCATACGGGTTTCTGATTTTTTCAGAGAGCTTGAGAATGCTGATGCTGTATTCTCTCTTTACGATGAATTTGTTGTTGTTCTAGCAAAAAAAAAAACAACCTTAAACAATATTTGTTAATGGAAAACAATTGTTTGGAATGCATACAAAAATAAGAGCCGGGAAATTCCATCCAATCTAGGAATCTGACCTATACCCTTTCATTTATCATTCACGAAAAACGCGATTTTAAAAAATCGCTTATCTTTCCCTTGATATTCACTCAGAAAAGGACGATGCGAATTGTTCGTATCTACATTTATACATCTCAAACATTAGGGAATACTTAAGTTGAGGACAATTTTAAAAAGAGTGATTGAATTGTATTAAGGGAGAACAATTTTCAACATGACAGTCATGTAAATGTAACGGTACAAATTGAAATTCAGTAGAATCCGTAATTCGCCTAGTACATCTATATAAAATAAAAGTTATTGGAATTTTAATGTATACCAACAAATCATGTGCAAATATATACTTGTATAAATAAGGAAATCCAGATTTGTACCTAAAGGTTACTGAAATTTACTGAATGCATTTCACAGCAGAGAATTTTTATTAAAGTCTTCTTTTAACAGTCAGGATTCTACTTTGTCAAAATTATCTCCCCATTACGCCAGCTAATTTTTACAATTGAAAATATGGAAGTCATTGTAGGGATGACACGCTGCCAATTTAGCTCATGAAAACAGATAAATTTATCCACATAGCACCACTACGATTTTTATATGCCAGTTCTATTTTAAAAGACAAATGTATCTACTAGTTTTTGAGCATCATTTAATGTAGTTTTCTGCATTTATTTAACTTAAAACTATTGTCTGATCGGTTGTCAGGTGGAATTTCCGTAAGTTCAAAAACATTTAAAAATATTCTAATTAAATATTTCGTGGAAGGGCAGACTAAAAATTTTCAGAGGTTGAAGACTAATAACACTAGATAACACACACAAAAAATGAAGTTTGTTTGAAGTTATGCATTTTTAAGATCAACTTGAAAAGTCTGTCGTCAAGTACTTTTAGTAAAAATTTGTTATTCGAACACATCTACTCTGTTGTTATGACTCATTACAAAGGTATTACACATGACCCTTATATTTCATTTTTTAGTACTGTGAACTTTAAATGTTATAAAATCAACCTGTAGCCTAAATATATAAAAATAATAGAATCTAAAGTGAGATGATGTATCAAATATATTTGTTTTATACGTTTTCAAGACAAAAAAGACAAATCAAATGCCCGAACATAACACGGTGCATTCGACTTCTCTTTTCGCTTAAATTATGTCCATTTTTGGATTATTTCCCAAAAAATTGTCGTCGGAGAAGAGATGCAAATTAATACTTTAAAAATTAATCTTTTATCTTTCTGTTGAATATTTTTCGGCGGAATTTATGCTTATGTACAAAAAAGATCCACTTGGATTTGCACCTACTACAATCGATTGATTTATGAAAATTTTTCTATAATTTAAAAGTTTACAAATATCTAGAAACTCCATACTATAATTTAAGTAAAACCATATAAGATGCATAAAATCCGAAATGATGCACCTTTATTAAACTTTTAAAGCCCATAGAAACAGATGTCAACAATTCAAATATACCAACTTGGCCTTTTTTACCTTCTCTAACAGAGAGTTCCATTTCTTTTGTTTAAATTCAACTGGGTAACTGCTTGTTGAATTTCTCAAAATTCACAAATTCACAGTATCATAGTTTTATATATGTACTATTAAGTTTGAACAACATTTTTTTGTTATTCCAAATATGTTTTAACATTTAAGATACATGGTTCAACAATTTCAAATTTGACAGGTTGTGGGAAATTTTATAATATAAACGTATAAGAAGGACTTTCTTTACAAAAAGTAAAATTGTCCTTGAAATATTTCTATATATTGCCTTTTGAAATTGAAATAATTCAATAAGAGTAATGATACGTTTGACGCAAAATTAGACAAAAATATATAACATGTTTAATATTATCTGCACAATTCGTAGCGCTAATTGACATCTTTATTCAAACTAAATACGTAAAATGTTTGTTGTTTTAGGTATATTATATAGACTTTCAGAATGTACATTAATAACTTTCTGGTTTTGATGCTTTGAGTAAAACAAATAAGGGAACGTTTGCACTAATGCCCTTTGTTACAATCTATCCCTATATTTGCCTTCAGGCAAAAATCTCACAACTCCCAATATTGCTCCTTCTGTTTTCAACACTTTATGATGAAAAACATGGTACATATAGACAAGCTGAAAGACGTTTTTTATACATAATTGTCAGTTTGTGAACACAGTAAAAAACAGTATAACAGAAATAAAACATGTTATTTGTTGATAAATATATACTGCACGTTTGAATCGATGTAATGCAAACAAGGAATACTAATTAAAGAGCAAAACAACTTCAAAAAATTAATACAATTATTGTCAAAAAGAAAAATTATGTTTCCTTGCAAAAAAGTTTTTTTAAAAGTTTGTCACCACGCAAAATTCTTGAAATGAAAAGGCTTTTTATTAGGATAATTATCGTGTGAATTTCCCGAGACCCAGTTCCATAGCCCTTTTATTGCTCTGGGACAATTTATATATTCATGCCTTTGAGAGAAAAAATGAAACTTTAGTGATATCTGTTATTTGGTTTCTCTCTGAAACTCTGCAGGAAAATTTAATACAATTATATGTATACAATTGTCAGGCCATAATTGTTTGATCGTCAAAATATCAGTTAATAATAAAATAGATATTTCATTTAAAAAGTAAGAAAACTAATATATTGTTACAATTTTTTGTTTGTTTTTGTGTTGATGAATGCATGTCGCTATCATGACCTTTGTGTTTCCTATTGTGTGGATACCTCAGATAGATTTTGGAAGCAGCGATCACATTCACAAGTTTTGTGTCGTTTTTTGTTTGTTTTGTCTTGTTCAAGTACCTGGTCACCTCATTAGTGAATGTACGATATAAGCTTCATGAGTCTGAAGCTCTTTTCTGGATTTACTATCATCAGCAACGTTCAAGCTAAATGTTTGAAAACCACGGATGTATGAGAACCAAGCAGTTGAAGAGCTATATGATAAAAATGACCTACAAAATAGTCAAATCCGTATAAAGTCGACTTTTACTATGGGATTTGAAAACTTAGTTTCTTTATAATTTCAATATTTATAAACGAATAGTTTGCGACAAGTTTGTTATAAATCATGTCAGTACCGAAGTACCGAAAACTGAGCTTATAATACCCTCGGGGACTGATAGTCCAGTCCACCAGCAAAGGTATCGAGGTATCGACCTGGTGCTCAAACAACACGTGATAAATTGCATGCGTCTGAATCCCTTTATTCTGGATTTACCATCATCAAGAACGCTCATAGCCAAATATTTGAACGCGAAGTATGTATCAGTATAAAAGAGACATCAAATACTCTTGCACTTGTCAACAAAGTAAACAAAGTGAACACCAATGTTAACACAAAAAGACAAATTATTAAAGACGTAAATCAATAAACTTAATGAAAATGCAGGTACACATAGCACACAGTATAACGTGTGTTTACTTACTGTGTATACATTCGGAACCTGAAATATAAAATTGTTTAATGGTCAATTAATGCCACAACCATGCATATATATTGAAATAGAATATATAAGTGATAAAAAATATTACATTATTTGAATATGTCATTTACGTATCGACACGATAAAAGTTTCGTCGTGCGTTTATATTACATGTAAACATGAAAGCACAAATCACATATTTCTTTTCACTTTGAGAGCGTTTCTAGCAATAGACCGTTGTCGATAATGTAATGTTAGAAAATTTTAAAAGCATTTCATTATTTGATGGGTGGTAGTAAGTTGGCAGTATCAAGCAAGGTTTCATCGACTTTCATTGATCTTTAAGCATGGTGCACTGTGTACAGTGAGTATATCTGATTTTTATCGGACCAGGATTGTTGTTTTGAGTAGATATTTGCCATGCTAAAATATGATGGGTATTACACGGTTGTTTAACTATTCTATCGTCAATTTGTACATTTTTCTATTCATCTTATTGCTTAACATTTTTCGATATCATGGACAGTAACAGTGTAGCAACGTCACGTGTGCATGTCCATCCGCGTCAATTTGTAAATGAAATACATGCGACTTCCTTCATAAAAGCAAACAGTCAAATATCATATCGTAGTGTACGCATAAAAATAGCTTTTTCACTATTTAACTTTATTTCATATTCTCAACCAAAAAACATGCAGTTAAGACAAATAATCCATTTCTGATATTGGTACTCGAATAGAGCATTGTAAGCTCTTCAATCTTCAATTTTGTCATAGGCGACACATTGTAAAGTAAACAATTAAGTTTTGCAACCATTGTCGTTCATCCCAGCAAAAGGTCCAATGACTTTTATTTTTGCTTTACGTAATTAAATAGATATCAATCAATGCAAACACGTTAAACCTTTTGATAAGCAAACAATTTGTTTACAATTGTACGCCTTATAAAAGTTTACAACAGCAACATTGTTGAAAGTTGGTTTAAGCCGGATTTAATTGACTCTATAAACTCTCAATAACATAAAGCATTTAAAGTAAAACCTCTTGAGAGCTAAAAAGTACCGTTATGTCTGTCATATGCTACAGTCTTATTTATATGACTGATTATGTCTTAATTAAAGATTTGCCGCCTTTACAGTCAGACGGTCTTTTGTATAAAGTATGTAATTATATTTTTCATGGGCAAAGCAAAAGACGTAAATCAATAGGTTTAATGAAAAAGTAGGTACACGAATCACACAGTATAACGTTTCTTTACTTACTGTGTATACATTCGGAACCTGAAATATAAAGATGTATAATGGTTAATTATTGTCACAACCATGCAAATATATAGTTCAGCGGATCGGTGACAAAGTTGTGGGTTTGATGATAAAAGTACCAAATTTGGCATGGGAGTAGTTCTTGTTGTTTTAAACAATATAAGCTATGGACCCACCTTGAAATTTTTAAATGGCGTCTTTTATTAAGGATGGCCGCCATAAAATATAAAAATCAACATATATCATTTATATAAGGGCAAATTTGTAGTGGTAGTAGTGCTGGGTGTTTAAAAACCATGAGCTATGAACCAACTTTGAAAATAAAATATGGCGGCTTTTTCAAAGATGGCCGCCACAAAAAATATCAAAATCAACAAATATCCCGTCTTTTAATTCAAATTTGTTATGTTTGTAGTGCTAGGTGCTTCAAACAATATAAGCTATGGACCAAAGTTGAAATTTCAAAGTGGCGGCTTTTTCCAAGATGGCCGCCATAAGATATGAAAGTTAAAAACAATCACATATAGAAGGTTACAAAGTGTTTTGTTTTGACAGTATAATCTAGTGCATTATAATACATGTACCAAGTGTATGCCACATTTATATACTAAAGCCAAACATCAAAAGATTTGTGAGGAAAGTATAGAAAATCGTAACTACGGTACCATTCTTGTAGAACAGTAGTCTACAGCAAGAGGTCACATATAGAGACTGGCGTTATTCCAATATTTAAGCTAGACTTAATTAAAATTCATACTTTTCAACTCTAACAGTAATCTCTGTGATCAACTTAAAGAGGAGATATTAATTATCTAAAACTTGCAGTAATCTTCTGTTGAGTTGCAATTAAACAAGCAACCGCAACAATTTGTTTGTATGGCAACGATACTTGAAGGAGCTGCACATACAGGTAGTTCAAAAAGACATGATGAAGGCGAAAGTCTTTTCAACAATCCTTAAAAACATTAGTTGATAATCATTTGGCCAAATATTCAGATTCAGTCTAGTTATTTCATTAAGGCAAATACGATGCTATTCATTTCAAAGTAACTGTTTTTTTTTTTCTATTAATCTTTAATATTGCATTGCGGTGAACTAAAACCATCTCATAATATATATTACTAAATTATAAAATGAACAGTTTACGCCTGTCGTTTATGAATGGGCCAATTATCCATTTATCGGCAGTACAAGAAGATTCAATTTATGAAACATTCAAAATGGAATAGATTGTTCCTCCCGCGAAACCTGTAGGTTTTACAGCAACATCCTTGGCCAATCTTGACAACAACAAGAGTTCAATTAGGCTTAAGAATCGTTACAAAGTACGACAATTTCCATTTTTGGTCTTTTCTTGTTCTAACTTGGCAAATTCGTGACAACCTTTTGCTTTGAAATATATGCATTTCACTTATAATCTCTGGTACTTTAACCAATATATTATGCGCCAGCACAATTGTTCATATTATTGCTATAACTTAGTATATATTTTACTATATATTAAGATGTATCCTTAATACTAACCAAATATAACCATGCGTATCATACTTGCATCTATTAATAAACATTTTATGGACATGCATTAGGTCAATTGTCTAACCAAATATACATGTGTTCCTTTCTGGTATAATTATTTAATTGTGCAATTATATCCTCACCTGGTATAATTAAGTTAACAAAATAATAACACAGATGGCATAAAGCAGATGATAATGAAAACGTTAAATAAGTCTGGAAAGCATTCCACGCATGAAGAACCATGAAAAATCGTCCGCCTTACTATATCAGTACGCATTCACCAATGGTTCAGGAAGAGATCAAGTCTGTCACAACAATTCAACATTCCATGAATACATTCCAGCAATGTAATTTTTCCGAGTATCATTTATCACTAGTGATCAGTTGTTTTTTTTTTTTTGCTTTTGCAAAATCGGAATAATGGTACTTGACAAACATATTTTAGCAGAACAAAGAAAGGTTTTGTTTTTGGTCTTCATAAGGAAATAGCATAGACATGGCATCGTTGAGAACCTTATGTCATTGATTAGAAAACAGTGGTTGATCAAGAGTTGAATCAAGGAAAGATAATACTTAATGAATAGCAGAGTGTTTTAAAGGCTCTCGTACATTATTATATTTCCGTGAAATTACAGTAGGTGTACTTCTCATTCTTATGCAAAGATCCTGACATCATTTTTTAATGAGGAACAAGACCCTGGTGAGAACTATGTAAGTCAAAGAAATGAAGATCATTAAAAGAATTTTCCTTCTAGGTGTTTAAAGATTCCATTATTTATTGGTTCTTTGCAATTTTCCTTCCAAATTATGGCTTTCAGTACCCGTGCGCGATACATTGCCATTTAACTATACAGTTTAAGTGTTGCAGACGTAATTTGAAAATGGTAAATTTAGATCAGGCCTATGAGTAGAATTATTGTAAAAGGAGAAGGTGGTGGCATTCAGATTGACCATCAATATCGCACAACTACATCATGTAATAGTGTTTTGTCTGGAAATGGCCATTGTGTTTAACAAGCTTCAATCAACATTTGAAATAACATTACGTGATCAGGTAATCCTCATGATGTTCTACACCAGGAACGGGTCAAAAGCAAAAAGCGCAACACTCCCAAAGCAGGTGAAAGCTTTAGGCGCGTGAATGTATCAGGCTTTTAACCAAGAGTGCTTCTTTAAGAGAATGCGGTAGGCATCTACCTTCTTGGAATTTATCACAAAGGTATCATCACTTTTGTAATGAGGTAATAGAATGTGGTTTACAGATATGAAACGGATGTCATGGTAGATGAAAATGCAGGACAATGATGTTATGTACGGTCCTGTTTAAAATGTGGTGGGCAGTGGGGCAAACATTGAATGGGCTGTCCTTAAGAATCATTTTGAAAACTGTTGTGAAAAAACGTTGTTGTTTAGATGATAAAAAAGATGGAGAAAATACTAAGGCAATCAAAATCATTAGTAAAACAAAACCAGATAAAAACAAACAACGCAAAAACGTGACTAACACAAATCAATACACAAAAATATAGAAATTGAGCAAAACAACCCCTCCCCTCCTAAAACAAAAACCGGGGATAATCTCATGTGCTCAAGAAGGGTCAGCAGTTCCTGTCCAATAATGACACCTACCTAGTTACTCTTGTTTAAATAGATCTATGAGTCATATCCGGTAGTTAGACATATATCATATAATGGTGGATTTATAAATATCTCTTTTCTAACCCTTCAAATTCACAATATATAAAACATGTTAAAACCATTGGTACATGTAAGTTATCTAAACTTTGACCAAATGTGAATGTTTGGAATGAAATAAGGTTTTCATTTCCTGTACGATAGATAAACAAGACTTTCACTGGTTACCAACACAAACATTGAAAAATAAAGAGCAAATAACACAACATTGAAAGCATAAAACAACAAGACTCCCTGTTCATCAAAACTAGGGGCCAACAGGTGTCTGGAAGGGTGTTTATAATTTTGGCAAACTAGTACCACACGTGATGTTACTCATTGTCAGTAGAAATTCGGAGATTAGTCGTATTTATTCGTCATCTTGATGTTACTACAATCGCTGAAATAGAAAGGAGTGTGGCAAGGAGAAGATAAACATATCCATTATCATTTGTGACTCAGATGGTACCTAGTGGTCAAACAAATTCTGATGGCGTCCCGATAATTGTTCGAATGTTTTCATTTATGGGATCGTTGATTAAATTGTCTTTCAAACAGCATCCATATATCATGGAAACGCAATCCCTAGAAATGTATATGAACTACAAAGTGCAATTCGATAGACGAAATAGATATCAGCAAAGCCTTGACTCAGTTTTATTCATTTTCATTTTTTGGCGGCTATTTTGAAAAGAAATGCAGTCTAATATAACATCATGATTTACTAAAAACGATGGATAACATTTTATATGTTTTTAAGATTTGGTTCGACTATTATTTGCATTAATATATACATGGTTGTAAACTTTAGACTGATTGGCAGACATCTTGAAAATGGCCGCCATATAATATTTTTCAGAGTGGGTCCATAGCTTAAATCAACTACCACATATAGTTGTGCAACGTTTAATGCTTTATAACCAAACCCACAATTCTTCAAAAAATATGCACGAATCAGCTGCACTAATACTGAAATAGTATATATTACTGATAAAAAAATGTATTTCATCATTTTAATATGTCATTTACGTATCCACACGACAAAAAGTTTCGTCCTGCGACCGAGTTACACGTTAACTTAAAAGCACAAACCACATATTTCTTGTCACTTTGAGAGCGTTTCTAGCAAAAGACCGTTGTCGATAATCAAATGTTTGAAAATTTCAAAATATTTCGTTCTTTTGATGAATGCTAGTAAGTTGTCAGCAATATTAAAGTTTTCACTCACTGTTATTGACCTTTAAGCATGGTGCTCTGTTTTATTGTACAGTTAGTATATCTGATTTTTATCGGACTAAGATTTTTGTTTTGAATAATATTTGTTGAAATATGATGGATATGTAACGGTTGTTAAACTATTTTATCGGCAAATTGTACATTTTTCTTTTTCATCTTACTGCTTATTATATTTCTATATCATAAGCAGGACCTGATATCTTTAGACAATGACACAACGTAACAGTGCTGCAACGTCACGTGTGTTTGTCCATCAGCGTCAATTTCTCAATGAAATGCACGCGACATCATTCTTAGAAGCAAACAATTAAATATCACAACTTTTTGAACGAGTAAAAATAGTTTTACTCACTATTTGATTTTATTTCATATTATCAATAAAACATACAGATAAAACAAATAATCGATAAAAAGAATAATGGGATTTAATTTAACTACATGTATCTTCACCCGCTCGAATATCAGCTTTCCATTACTTTACGTAAACGTAATTAAACAAATATCAATCAATGTAAATATGTTTAAGCTTCTTGATAAGCAAAGCAAAGAATTTGTTTACGATTGTATGAGTTATGAAAGTAACATAATTG